CCCAAAACCCCAAAACCCCAAAACCCCAAAACCCCAAAACCCCTTAAGAATATAAAAGAATTGATCCTAAAAATAAAATTAAATGGGATCTTTATTCTCCTCTGAAGATAACCTCAAGTTATTTTTCAATTATGGAAGTGACCTCAACATAATACTGGATGCCTGCAACTTCCATGAAGGGTCACAGGCTACAGGAAACGTGAGCTTTACAGTCAACAACAACTGTCCCTCCATCCGTTTAAATGTGGTTGTCGAAGGCTTTGAAAATGTCTTGTGGCAGAAATAGAGAAACGAAAACAGTAAGAGGGATAGGAGGAGTGAGAAGAAGAGGTGGAAGCGGTACAAGAAGGCAAACTAAAACTGTAACATATAAAGATAAAGTCAAGACAGTCTCTAGTCGGACCTTTGTACTAGAGACCCAAGAAGGTTTCCTTCCAGGAAATTATTCATATCCTATTAATTTCCCAGTTCCACAAAATGTTGCCGGGACTTATGCATTCTCATCTAGTAGTTGGGGGCTTAGTTCCAAATGCAGTAGCTCATACATGGTGTATGTAGAGATTACTAGCAATGATGGCTCCAACACGGTACTAGGAAGGTGCGGATGCCCCATTGTTATCATGCAAAGACCAAGATTACAGCTTCAAGCTAATGTTGAAACAAGTCTTACCGTTCCGATAAAGACATGGTGCTGCATCGACAGAGGAACCTTCGATGGAAGGTTCGTCTTTGAAAAGAACATAGTGTGCATCAACGATAACGTTTGGATGAAGTTCTACCTTGACAATACCAAGAGTAATCTTTCAGTTGACAAGGTCACTTGTTATCTGAAGAGAAAACTTGAACTGAAAACAAGAAAAGGTAAAATGAAGGAATTGACTAAAACAATGATCAAACAAGTTGTGCCAGGATGCAAGAAGGGAGAGAAATCAGAAGAGAGAACGGTCCAGTTTGATCTAAACCTCGCTAGTGATGACGGTACCCCGTCTAAGCTCAAGGGAGAACTGGGGGAGTTCGCCGGTAAAATTCAGCAAAGTTGAAATGGCCAACTTATCAACTGCTCCTATTTATTAGAAATGGAGGTAGACTTTGTTGGGTTCAGATGTTGAGATCCAGACCCAGAATCTATATTACCAATTGAGCTTCTAGCCCCAGAAAGAGTGCTTGTATTCCAGCCTGAGATTTACTCGGCACCCATGGATTTCGGAGATGCAGATCAATCAATGACTCCTTTTGTACCCAGTGGAGGAATGGATGCAGTTGCTACACAACAGCCAATAATGGAGTCGTATGGAGGAGTACATGCTGGTGGAGCTCCTCCACCATCTCAGATTCCACAAACCCATGCGACATCAGCCCAAATTGCTCCTGCTCCTGTTCCTGTTCAGTACCCTGCAGACCCAAACGCTCCATATGTTCAGCCTCCAGGAATGGCTCCTGCTCAATAACAGTTATCAGGAGAGGAATTTCATATTATGGAATATTATAAATTTTCATAATAGAAGATCTGAGGCTTCAATAAATTATCATAACTCAGGGGTTTTGGGGTTTTGGGGTTTTGGGGTTTTGGGG